AATGATTGAGTGATTGTTTGGGGAGGGATGGCCACACGCACAAACACACACACACGTGCACACACACACACACACACACACACACACACACACACACACACACACACACACACACACACACATACACACACAAACGCACAGAACAATAAACGCACAAAAGAACATTGAAGTACAATGAAAACAAAGGAGTCATCAAATCTCATACAAAAGTCATGCCAAAATCGCATATACGAGTCCAATATGAAATACATGTCACATGATACAAAGTCGTCGACACTCGTACTGAGTCGTACAGCGATGGGATGCAGCCTACACCGCTAACTAACAAATCTGAAAAAACAAACAAACAAACATCCACGTAATACGACGAGTCGGAATGAAGTCCCACCTCGAACATAAACCCAATAACTAAAAAACAAAATGAAAACGTCGTTCATAAACCCAAAAAGTAAAAAAAAAAATAAACTCTCAACAACACTACCAGCATACTAAAGTTCAGGAACTGGTCCTAAGTGCCTAAAACCTAACTATATATACATCATCCTAAACAATGTACAAAATGGTCAGAACGTCGATGGACAAACAACATAAAGGCGACGTGGAAGGGGAACGAAGCTGTCAATACCGTCGACCTCCCTTCCCCTTACCATTGCCTCTCTGCCTCTCCCCACCAGTGTTGCATATCGATGAAACGCTCCCTCGCCCCGCCGCGGTCACAACGGATGACCCTCATCCCCTCGTCTCCCGCCGCCCTGGAGGGGACGGGTCGTCGACGTTGTCATGTCGTCTACTCGAACCACGTCGTCTTGTCGCCTTAACCCCCTCTCCTCGTCTACCGGAACCACGCCGCGTTGGAGGGGAGGGCTCGCCGTCGTCATCGTAGTTGTCGTCCTCCCCGCTGTCGCTCTCCTCCTCCTCACTGTCCTCGTCGTCTCTGTACTCATCATCCTCCTGTGGGGCCTCCTCGCGTGCCGGCTCTGTCTTGGGATCGTCCTCCACTATGGTGATAGGGTCAGCCCCCGTCCGAACCCAAACAACCCTAGCACTCACCTCAGTCACCTATGCGACAATCTTCTCACGACGTGAGCCGCGCGGCATCCCCAACCCCTCAGCTCTAGAAGACTCCCCCAATGCGGCACCCCCCACCACAGGCATGGGACGTGGACGAGCTGCTCCGCTCCTGCGCGGAGTCTGGTCACGCACAACACATGGTGCTGCTGCCAAAGCGTGCTGCAAGGTAGAACCGGCCTCTCCACCCCCACGAACATGCCGCGACTAAGATATTGCCGCCATGACCTCCCTCGGCGCACCGCTCCCGGTGTGAGGACCACCCAAACCTGGTTGGCGTCGTGCAGTGTGGATTGTGACCCGACGCGTGGAGTCCAGGTCGATATTTGTCCTCCCGAATAGCAACGTGTCGAGAGGGAGGCTCCCTACGCCCGTCGTGTCACGAACCCTGGCTCTGCCGACCATGGATGGTGAGCGGGGGGGTGGACGCACTGGTGTCAAGGGGGAATCGTCGTGACGTGATCTTGGAGGAGGAGGCGCCATGAGTGGTCTGCGTGGGTCGGTGTCCTCCCGCCGTGTGACGTCAGGCACATCAGCCCGTGCAAGCTCCATCACATCCAATGGGCAAGCTGTATCCTGAGGAGTTTGCCACCCGCTAACAGGTGTCTGAAGCGATGGCTCAGATCCTAAATCGACCACTATGACCGGTGGTACCTGAACAGATGCCACCTCCTCAGGACCTGACCCCTGCACACATGGTCGAACTGGTCGCGTCGTCGTCGTCAGTTGCAGGTCCGTGAACCATACCAACGAACCGCTACCTCCGGGGATATCTGCAGTGGGTGCATCCTCACGCTCCTCCTAAGGCCTCTCTCGTACCTCCTCGCACCCCTGCTGGAGCGTGTCTCGTGTACGACTCCCGGAGTATCCTGCGAATGCTTGCTCGATCTCCTCTCTTTGTGACGAGGGCAGGGAGGACCCCCCAAAGACATCCCCGTGAAATCTTGCATCCCCATCCGTGAAGCCCCCCTCTCTCCTAATGGCGACGCCCCCAGTGTCGTCATCGTGCCTGGGGTCAACCCTGCTAGTGCAGGACCCATCCCGCCAGTGATAAAACGCTGGACGATCGGGTCAAGGTGGTGGCTCCCCTCTCCTCTATCATGGGCGATGTCCCCCCCTACCACGCCCTCCTCTCTCCCAACCAACGCACCAGCATCTGCCCTCACCACGTCCTCCTCTATCTCAACTTGCGCATCATCATCATCTACCTCTGCCACGCCCTCCTCTCTCAACCTGCGGCCTCACCACGTCCTCCTCTCTCTCTACCTGTGGGCACACCACGTCCTCCTCTCTCTCAATCTGCGCACTGTAATCCACCCTCTCCACGTCCTCGTCTCTCTCAACCTGTGTCCTCACCACCTCCTCATCTCTCTCAACCTGCTCACCATCATGCACCATCGCCACGGCCTCCTCTCTCTCGACCTACGCACCATCATCCACCTCCACCACGCCCCCCTCTCTCTCAACCTGCACTCGATCGTCCCCCCCTGCTGTCTCCTACAGCGTAGACAACCCTATCCCCACTACTCCAGCTACCTCGTCCTCCATACACCGAATACCCTCAACTCCGTCCACTCCGTGCTCCTCCGCTCATCTTTCCCTCTCCTCCACCACTGGCTCCAAAACGAGCTGACGGGCTACGCTAGACAATGATCCATGTCTGTGCATGCGCAATGAGGATCCCAAGTCCTCTCTCCCAACCGGTGTGGGTGAGCGCTCGTCATGCCGAAAGGGAATGGTCCGAGCGGATGCTGCGACTGAATGATGAGGAAGAGACAAGGGCCACGAGGGTCCGAACTTCATCGCGGGAGTACTTATCTGCTCCCGCGTGCTCGTAGGAGCAGGCGTCTTCTCCCTCGCAGTCGCGGGAACAGTCATCCGCTCCCACGTTGTCGTGGCAGGACGCGGCTCCTCCCTCGCAGTCGTGGGAGAAGGCATCTCCTCCCGCAAGGTCGTGTGAGGAGGCGTGTGCTCCCGCACGGTGGTGGGTGATCTCTCCTCCATGCCCCTGAAAGGCCCCCAAAGCTCCTCCTTCCCCCCATCATATCTACGTCTGCGTGCTCTACCGCCCCCCATGCGGTGTGCGTCCTCTCGATACCCCCGTCGCCCTCCTCGTGCAGCTCGTCAATCTCGCGCGGGACCGGAAGCACAAGGTCGTTCGCTGCTTCTGGCTCCCTCTCCTCCTCAGAGGCATCGCCCCTGGGGTATGGACGGAAGATAGCTGCACGAGCACCGAAAACAGACTCAACAGGGGGCCGCACAGAGAACCCTATGGGATCGCGCATAATGAGGGCAGCCTCCTCCTCGATCTCCTCCTCCGCCATCCCACTCCTCGTCCCCGACCGCACAGGCTCCACCTCCAATCCCGCCTGAGCGCCAAGCGTACCCTCGTCTCGCTGCAATGGAGGACGTATCTACAACCTGCACGTCTATACTCCATCAACCGCACATCTGCGGTGATCTCAACAAGATGGACGACCTTCTCGAAGGCCAATTGATTGCGCTTCTTCGTATGGATGCCCTCGTGGACCGCCCAGTTCCTCTTCGCTGGAGAGGCGTAGGACCACATGTGCATCAAACGAAGGGCGCAATATTGTAAATCACGTGCGTCTCCCCCATACTGAGACCACCACGATGCACACTCCATCGTTTTGCAGTGCCCGCTGCAACTACGTACTCGAGCGAGGCCCTCTGCCCCGTCCCAAGTCCCATACCTACCCTGCTGCATGTGGAAATCCTCGAACTGCCGACATACCTCAAGGTAACGAGCACCCGACTCGTCGAAGCCCGTCTGAGATAACAGATACCTCTTGGCTTGTCGAACAAGCCAAGTGTGGTACTCGTCGAGCTGCGCGGAGAAGTACTGAACATCCTGGCGACGGGGGTTCGGTAAGAACTCCGCGCAGTGTGCAGGTTCCATCATGTGCTGTATACGGGCCTGCACACACCTCATGACACGGTCAGAAAAGGACGTGCCAAGAGAGATGCAAGCGTCCCGCACGAGGCGTGCAAGATCCTCAGTCCACTTTACAACGAGGACATGAACTGCCCGCCACGGTCCATCCACCTCAGCAAGTCCATGACGGGATCCATGACGTGCTTGATGGCCCGCGTCCTCTCCCACCAAGGGGACCACCTGATCTGTCGGCACACCCAACACGCCATGTTGCGGACGTCGGCGCACCCAACACGCCATGTTGTCATCATGCTCTGCAAACGATCCTGCAGAGTCAGCAGCCTCTCCAACATGGAGTACACCGATGCAAATCACGTCTCGCATCAAAGTACGAGCTCCAACGCCCGGCTGCGCTTCCGGAAGAAGCTTAGAGCGGCCTGGTGGATTTTGAAAAACACCACCAGAACTCGGGCATGCGTGATTGTGTCCATGAAAAGGTGCAGATCGTGGGGGCATAGCTGTCGAGGCCAAAGCCGTCACAGCCCCCATGTACGCAAAGGCGGAGGCAGTGTATATAGCATTGACCTGCTGTGGGCTACCCAACCTGAAACAGTGAAAGATGGTGACCCATCTCTGCAGGACGTGCACCACATCGTCCGGCTCCCCCTCTCGGTTGATCGTCGTGTGTATGACGACATCTCGAGACCCAGCTGCAAGGAAGTTCACGATCGGTCGCCCTTCTCATGACTTACTTCCGTCAGAGAGGAGGGTGGCGCCACTCACCCATAATAGCTGCCTCACCTCCTCAAACTCCTTCGCCAACCCCGCGCGGTGGATCTCCATAGCTCGCATGCTTGCGATCTTGCTGTGGGAGGGAAGCACGGGAAGAGGTCCTCCACCAAGATGTTGAAGAGCAACCTGTCGAAGATCCCTCCACGACGTGTTGTGGAAGGCATTGAAGGCAATCCCATTGGAATACGCGCAGCGAAAGAATGCCTTCCTCCAATGACCAATTCACTCGCCACCATACGTGTCCATTACCTTCTGCTGCCACAACCTCTTCCCGGCCTTGGCGGAAGAAAGATGTGCACCCCCGTCCTTCCTCTTTGAAGAACCCGACGTGCATGTTGTCTCAGGAACAGGAGTTTTCGAAAAACCCGGCGTGCATGCTGTCTCAGGCGGGATGACCTTCTTCCCCCAGCTCCGCTCCCAGTCCACTGTCCTCTTACGAGTCACCGAATCGAACTCGGGCACGCCGCCCTCTCCCCTCAGCGTACGCTCCCCCTCTACCACACCAACCTCGAGGTCGATGTCCATCTCGTCCTCCTCCGCGGCACCCCCACCCTCCCCATCTCTCGCAACACCTCCCTCCGCAGAACATGGGGTATCCTCTCCCTCGCCCATGCCCTGTGAAGGACACTCCGCCTTGCCACTCATCGCACCAAGACCGCAGGACATCGAGACCACGCTCCTGTGCGTACTGTTGGACTCTCTCTACCTTGTCAACCTTGAAGCGGTGTGCACATTTCTGCGCACATCTAGAACAAGGCTTCGTCGGACACCTTCTTGCAATTCTTTGGCTGAGTGAAGTGTTTCGTTGCGTAGTACTAGGTTCCCTACCAAACCGTATTGCAGTAGGTGCACCGTAGCATGATAACCCCCTTATTGTCGACCTTCTGGCCGATGACAATGTAACGGTACACAACAGCCTTTCGCCAGAAATCCTGTTGTACATGTTCAGGTGTTGGCTCATGATCGCACGTCTGTTTGCGCGGCATTGTAAACCCCCTTCAACCCCCCGCCCGTTCGGCCGTAAGCACCTCCCCTCCTGCCACACGCCCTGACAACCGTTTACCCCCCCCATCGGCGCCACAAACGAAAGTCTATCCCCGACCGGCCCCATCCCAACCCACGACCCCTTCGCCGACCGCCAAGCCCCCTTTCAATAACGTTGGACATTGCTGAACCCCGCCAAACCCTGTCGAACCATGTGGAACCCCCGTTGAACTCTCGTTGAACCCCCGTTGAACCCCCGTTGAACCCCCGTTGAACACCTGTTAATCCCCCGTTGAACCCCCGTCGAAACCCCGATGAGCGACGTTCCGACGGCGCTATGCGTCGTTCGTCGTTCTTCGGCGGGTGCGCGTCTCGCCTAGCGCCTTCGTTGGTGGGATCCGCCGCTGCCGCTGATCGATGGCTTGATAGCACCTGCATAAAAAAAAAAAAAAAAAAAAAAAAAAAGATTAGTGCAATAGAAAAAAAAAACTAGAAAAAAAAAAATCTCTCTCTCCCTCTCTCTCTCTCTCTCTCTCTCTCTCTGTCTCTCTCTCTCTCTCTCTGTCTCTTTCTTTCCCGGCTTAATCAATCAATCAATCAATCAATCAATCAATCAATCAATCAATCAATCAATCAACTAATCAATCAATCAATCAATCAATCAACCAATCAATCAATCAATCAAACAATCAATCAATCAACCAATCAATCAATCAATCAATCAACCAATCAATCAATCAATCAATCAATCAATCAAATCAAACAATCAATCAATCAGTCAAGATCCTATCGAATTGATAGGATTGATAGGATCTTGATTGATTGATTGATTGTTGATTTGATTGATTGATTGATTGATTGATTGATTGATTGATCGATTGATCGATTGATCGATTGA